CCCAGCCCTGAGTTTAATTCCCACTACTGAAAAAAGAATATATTTTATATATTCTGAAATCCTAATAAATCATTTGTGGTGGCAGTAATAAAGTTGCATGCAAAAAAAACCACACACACAGGAAGCTAGACACAGTGGCATACACCATGGCAAAGCACCCCTGGGCTCAATCCTCAATACAAAAAAAAAAGCCGGGGGTGGGGGGCGAGGTTGTGGCTCAGTGGTAGAGTGCTTGTCTAGCATGCATGAGGCACTGGGTTCAATCCCTGGCACCACATAAAAAATAAAAATAAAGGTATTGTGTCCATCTACAACTAAAAAAATTTTTGAAAAATTTAAAAAAATACAGAAAGAAGAGGAGAGGAAAAATTGCATGCATAATGAAGGCCTAAATCTGCACTATTTATTTGGTACTAGGGATGGAACCTGGCTGACACATGCTAGGCAAGCAACCTGCCTTTGAGCCACATCCCAGTACTATATTTTATGTTCTTTTTGCAATCTTGACTTCTCATGGATGAGCAGCTTTAATAATTTGATAAGCAGCTTGCTATAATTAAGAATAGTTTATGAGCCRAGTATGGTGGCATATGCCTGTGATCCCAGCGACTCAGAAGGCTGAAGCAGGAGGATCCTGAGTTCAAAGCCAGTTTCAACAAATTAACAAGGCCCTGAGCATCTCGGCAATGACTCTGTCTCTGAATAAAATATAAAAAGGGCTGCTAGGCATGTGGCTCAGAGGGGGACTTAACAACAACAGATAGTTTATGATACTGTTATTTTTAAAGCCCTTATCATAGATATACACAGAAATATTGATAGATGAGGTGATAGGGTATATGAGGTTTGCATCTCAGTAGTTAAGCATTTGGGGGTGAGGAAGAGTGTGAGGAACAGAATTGACTGTGAGTTGGTGTTTCAACTTCTGTATAATGAAAAAAGTTCAAAGCAAAACAAAAGACATACTGTTATAAAAAGTATGTTGTTAAAATCACAAGTTTTGAGTTTAAATTGAACTAGAATACTGCTTTTGCCACCTAGTAGCCTTGTGATTTTAAACAGGTTTTACTTCTCTGAGCCTCTGTTTCCTCATCTGTAAAATGAGCATAAGAAGCTGCCCTGCAGAGTTTAGGAGGAGTGTATGTGATGGGCAGGGCTTGTGAGCGCAGTCCCAGGTGCAGGGTAAGGTGCTGGCAGTCCTTATCTTGGGGAAGCACAGACTGCCTGGTGCCTCAGTGCTAATGGAAGTGACAGGTGGATGTTGAGATGTGACTCAGTGGTCCAATGGCACTTTGACAAGTCCTTGTTTGTGCTTTCTCTTGCTTTGGTTCATGCCATCAGGGAACTGACACTGCTGCCACTTGCGGGAGGGTATCTGATGTCTGTGTTTTGCTGTATTTCTGGCTTGACCCAGGACCTGGCACATGCTAGGCAAGTGCTGTGCCACCGAGCTCCACCCCAGCGCTCTAGGAGAGCATTTGGAAGGAGAGGTGGGAGTGCAGAGGATCCTGCCTCCCCTGATGCTGCCCGAGTGACCGCACACCGATTCCAGAGTGCCCAGCTGCTGGCCTCCCTATAGGGAAAGGAAAGATTTCCCTGTTCCTGGTGGCTGTTGGAGATTTCTAGATTTCTAGGGACTGAGTATTTTTCACCTCTTGGTCCTCTGCCCTTGTGGTATTCTATAAGTATTTGTTTATTTACATTGAATTGAATCAAATATAGTTGGTTGAAGGGATGTTTTCTGTTATTTCTGTGTTGCTGGGGATGACACCCAGGGCCTTGAGCATGCCAGGCAGGTACCCCACCTTGATCCACACCCTGCCTGAATGAGTGATGGAATGTGTACCCTTCCTGATCACTTCTGTCTCGAGGCTTCTTGGTGTTTGGGTTGTCTGGTGAGGCACAGTTTACAAGGTCCCTTCCATTCCTACTTTATTGGATGTGATGGCATGATGACTTAACATGGAGGTGTTAGATTATACAAAGATCATGCAGATATTACTAGTAATGATAATACTTTCTGTAAAAATAGCATTTGAGGGCTGGGGTTGTGGCTCAGTGGTAGAGCATGCCCCTAGGTGCTGGGTTCGATCCTCAGCATCACATAAAAATAAATAAATAAAATAAAGGTATTGTGTCCAACTGCAACTAAAAAAATTTTTAAAAAATAGATAAATAAAAATAGCATTTGATGTTTTTCCAATTATAATTCACATGAACATTGTTAGAGATTTTGAAAATATAGAAAAGTATAAAGAAAAATTATTACCCATGATTCCACTGGCCCCAACCATTTCATAGTTCAGTAGTGAATTTCTTTCACATTTTTTATAAATAAATAAATGCTTATCTTTTTGTTTATAGTTTAGATTTTTTTTKGGGGGGGGGGTAGTGGGGATTGAACCCAGGGTACTCTATATGGAGCTGTATTCCCACTCCTTTTATTTTATCATTTTGAGATGGAGTTTTACTAAGTTGCCCAGGCTGGCCTTGAATAGCCTCCTGAGTAGCTGTGACTATGTCTGGGTTCTGTTCTTTGCATTTAATGATACTGTCTCAATGTCTTTCCCATGTTGGAAGCAGTAGTTTGAAAATAACTTGCATATCATACCTGTGTTGAAATCTTCGCCTTACCTCTTCCATAATTTGCATTGTCTTGGGTGTCATTTCTCCTCCAAGTGAGTGTTATCCAGATCACAGGGTACTGTTAGTCCTGTGGGCTGAGTGAGGGCCAAAATATAGGTGGAGCCCTTGGCCGTAATCCAGCTCTTGGAAAATGCAGAAACTAGGAGTAGTGATGCCATGATGATTGTGTGAAATATGAATCAAAAAATGTGTTTTTTAAAGGTATTGTGTCCTCAAATGATAAAATAAAAATAAGAAACAAGAAGAAATGAATGTACTATTTATGTGGACAAAAACTTGCTGTAACTGCTGAAATATTTTCTCAAAAACAACTAGAGAGCATGCATTCTGGAGACTCAAATGGGTGTAAAAGTCCTTACCAGGCTTCTGTTCTACTGCAGAGCATCTGTATGCTGGATAAGTTAGAAAGCATGGTTCTAGAATTTAAATTTGAGCATAGTGTACATGCTATAAATTACTCATTTTAAGTGGGCAGCACAGTGCATTTTCATCGTGTAAACACACCCTGCTCAGCCCGCAGGGAACAGTTACCAGGGACCTCCAGAAGCTCCTTAAACCTGCCTCCCCCAGTGGCTGGAAAGTTCTGTTCTCTGGGGAGTGACCCTGTCACACCTCCCAAGCCTGCAGTTGTCCTGTGGACGAGGCTTGTCCACCCAGTGTCATGCCTGCAGTCCATCCCTTGCTTCTCCTCGTCTCTGCAGCTCAGCTCCACTGGGGATTCTGCCACAGAATCAGACCCTGATGTACTCAGGAGGTCCACATATTAAGTTGAATTAATTTCTTTCCTGTGCTTATAGGATGGTAGTAGACCTGTACTGTCCTTGGAAAAGTTGAGAAAATAGTCACTCCGATTATTTTTTGTAGGGCTTAATTCTCTCAAAATCCTGAGAAAGGCCATGAGATAGCTTTCTGGTTTCTTCCATTTAGCAGTTCTGAATTGCAGACTTGTGTCATCTTGCCTGGCTTTTCTCATTCTTGGTGAGAGTACAGGTTTACTTCTAGCTACTCCATCCCCCTGGGAAGTCAAAGTCCCTCAAACATACTTTAAATGCAAAGCTGAGCTCCTGAGAAAATAAGGGGAATTCAGGGGCCTTTGAAACCCAGCAGGTTAAGACAGGGAAGCCGGGGCTGCAGCACACATTGCAGAAACCTGGACCCCAGAGCCTTGAATTCTGAAACTGGCTGAGAGCAAATGGGCCGAAGCCTTAGACCTGAACAGGGAGGAAAACAGGACCTACGTCTCTCTGCTCCTTAACCCAGAAGCCAAGACTCTCAAAAGCATGACTACTGGGCTCGGGAATTTAGCCTTCTCAGGGCAGTGAAGGGGGGGGGTACTCTGGGGACGGTGGGGGGTGCAGTTGGTTTCTGCTGAAGAGCTAGCCCACGACCTTTCTTCACAGGCCTCTGGTGTTTGAGTGGGGCTGCCTGTGCCACCTAGGAGATGCCCAGTCTGGAAATGAGTAATGACTACTTATGTAGACAAGCTGAAGATGTACTGAGGGTGTTGCACCCTGGGCAAATGATCCTCAGTGATTTTACAAAACAAAGTGTCTTGGTGGAGCCCAGCTGTAGGAGTATTTTTAATACCGTTGTCTGCCGTCTTTGGGGTGTACTGGTTTGGTTGAGGCTGCAGTCATAACAGGGAGGCAGAGTCAGGCAGGGACAGACACCTACTTTGTGGCGCCATTTCAGCAGAGCTTAGGGTTTTCCCTGAACCCAGAGATTGCTGTGACCACTTGACTTGTACCTGGGATTCCTTTTGCAGAAGGCTTTGTTCCCAAAAAACTCATCAGATTCGGTATCACTTTTAGTTACAAATGCACTTAAAAAAAAAAAAAACTGATTTAGATTTGGTYAGAAAATTAACATGTAGCTGCCACTCTCCATCCTGCAGTGGGAGGAGCGAGATGGCGGAGCTGTAGGTAAACAAACGTATTCTTGGAGTAGCCTTTGCCATTCCTGTCCTCCCTCTCCCTGGCACATTTTGAGTGCCTGCTGGATGCCAGGCTTTGTACTATTGAGGATTTGGAGCATGCCTAAAATGTGGTTCTTCCTGCCTTGGGCTTCCTGTTCCCCCTGACCACAGAATCTGTCCCAGAACTGAAACAAGTGCACTGGGGTGAACTGGAGCCGCTGTGTGCATCCCTCTGCAAAACTCCGCACCTTCTAAAGTTCTCAGGAGTCATCTTCAGCTTTTGAAGACAGATAACTTACCTCAGCATATGTGTGTCAGTGAGCATATGGTGGGAGCATGGCTGCCTAGTAGGAAACTAGATGCCACAGGTTTTCAAGCAAATGAATAGATTAAATCATCGTTTCCGTATTAGTAATTCCATCCCCACAAATCTCTTTAGGATGATGTGAGACATAAAGTTCACCTGAACACCTTTGGGTTCTTCAAGGATGGGTACATGGTGGTCAACGTCAGTAGCCTGTCCGTGCATGAGCCTGAAGGAGTCATGGACAAGGATGCAGCTGTGAGTACCGTGTTGGCCTGGGTGAGGGTTCCCCTGCCATCCCATGCTTATACACAGGACACCAGAACAGGGAGAGAATCAAGCTGATGAGTCCAATGTGCATGTTAGGCATCAGTTAGTTTGACTTTTCTGTTTTGGGTACTGAGAGTTGAGCCCAGGAGGGCTCTACCACTGAGTTACAATGCCTTAGCCTTTATTTTGAGAGTCTTGCTAAGTTGCTTAGGGATTTGATAAGTTGCTGAGCCTGGCTTTGAACTGACCATCCTCCTGCCTCAGACTCTTGAGCTGCGGGATTAGAGGCCTGCACTACTGCGCCTGGCAAGTTTACTTTCAATACTTAAGTTGTGGTTCTTGAATAAATGTAGCGATTGGTGATTTGAGTCAAGCAGCCCTCGCCTTGTTACAAAGTGAATGGTAAGAAAATGCTGAGGAACCCAGKCCTAATTGTTTACAGACCCTAACACTAAAGTGCCTCCCTCTCTGTTCTGTAGAGTAAGAAAGGTGGGGCGTTGTAGATGTTTGCTTCTCTTCTTACCCCCACCCCCATCTCCCCTCAGATCGGATTCAGCTTGGACCGTACAAAGAATGATGGCTTTTCTTCCTACCTGGTGAGTACTAAGTGGCAACCTGATCACTGTCTCCACTGGAGCCTGGGACAGTGAGTGGGAGCAGGCCCCCAGCCATGTTTCCTACAGGGGTGGCTGGTCTGGCTCTTGGGCATTTCTGAAGTCCCCAGCAGGCTCACTGTTTGGATGCAGGCTGAGCTGCTGGTTGGCCTTATTTTTTAAAACGCTCTGTTCTTGCTCTTGGGGATGAATTGGATATACACAGTTGATTCTTCTTTCTCAGGATGAAGATGTAAACTATTGCATTTTAAGGAAACAGTCTGTCTCTGTCACCCTTCTAATCCTAGACCTCTCCAGAAGTGAGTAAGTAATTCTCATGTTCTTCATTCACCCCTGGATGCAGTCAGGCTGTTTAGGAGCACACTGCCACTTGCTGGGTGTCTGCCATGTGCCAAGTAGTGTACAAGAGGAGGGAGGCGGACACTCCCCCAGCAGTGTGTGGATTAGTGGGGGAGACAGAGGGCAGCAGGCAGAAGAGAGCAGGGTGGGGTGGAAGGGAAGAGAAAGTCAGGAGGGAAGAAGGGGAGGGGAGGCCACCGGTGAGTAGCCTCCTACCTACCCGTGAGAAAAGGGAGTGCGTCCCGGTAGAAGGAGCCGGCTGTGTAATGGTGGCGTGGCAGGAGATAGCGGGGTGCGTCTGTTAGCTGAGCTTGGTATTGATGGAGAGTAAGTTGGAGGGGAACCTGGAAAGAAACAAGACTGGGTCCAGGGCCTGGCTCTGCCACTCACTGGCTGTGTGACTCCGGGTTCAGTGTCCTGCCGATTTCATAGTAATGGTTTCTGCCCACCAAGATTGTTGGTGAGTGGCAAGATGTGGCAGAGGGGTAGAACACCTGCTCAGCACACGGGAACCCTGGGTTCCCTCCCCAGCACTGCAAAAAACCAAAACCAAACAAAGACCAAGAAAGATTGTTGGTGAGGATTTCTGGCCATTTAGTCTTTTTAAAACTTTCGCACTTGGGTGAAGCAGGGGACTTTGTGTTGTCAGGTTCAGCCCGTTTCCACCTGGCCACTTCGTACGTTTGCTGTGTGTGATTTTGAGGGAGACTTCAGAGGAGTCAGGGTGAGGTAGTGTGTTCAGGATTTCTGTCACAGCAGATCACAGCAGCCCCCAGAGGGTGGACTTGCAGTGGACAGGGCTGCTGTGCTGTGAACTACCATGGACGCTGGGCAGCGAGCATCCCTGTGGCAAGCTCTGTTTCTTTTTGTGTTTTAATTTACCATTTTAGCCATTTTATTTTTCTAAGTATTTTTAGTTGTAGATGGACACAATACCTTTTTTTATTCTTATTTATTTTCATGTGGTGCTGGGAATGGAATCTAGTGCCTCACACATGCCGGATGAGAGCTCTACCACTGAGCCCCAGTCTTGGCCCGGGCTCTGTTTTCATTTAAGAAAATTGAATCTGGCTATCTCTTGTGCTAACTAGGGTGAGTTTGGCAGCCAGCAGCAAGAGTTGACTTAGCCTGGCTTAGATAGTGAGGATAGTGATCGTCTTGCCTGCCTGGAAGTCCAGAGGAGCGGCTGGTGGGGGCAGGCCACCGTGGCTTGCTGATGGCAGTGATGCTCCTACTTTCCATCTCTGCTCCGCCCTCCTTAGCATCCGCTTCTTCCTCACCAGATGGCTCTGCTTCCTTATTCCTGTCCAGCCAAGGGGAAAAGAGACAGAATGCTTCTCCCTCAGCCAGCTCTAGAGAGCTTGCATGTGCCAGTTTAGGTCATGCAAGCTCTCTAGAGAGAGCTTGGAAATTGTCACCAGCCCCTCTGGGGGAGCCTTGGACTAAACAAAATTGGGTGTCTTAAGAAGAGAGAAGGTAAGCCAGGCCTGATGGCACATGCGCGTAATCCCTGTGACTTGGGAGGCCGAGGCAGAAGGATCCTAAGTCCAAGGCCAGCCTGGGCAACTTAGTAAGACCCTGTGTCAAAATTAAATTTAGAAAGGGCTGGGGATGTAGCTCAGTGTAGAGTGCCTGTGGGTTCAATCCCCAGGACAGCAAAAAAAAAAAAAAAAAAAAAAGGGTTTGAAAGGGATATTAGACAGGCAATTAATAGTACACTTAGCCCCCTGAGGCTTCCCTTGGGTATCAATTTGCTGAGCATAGTAATGATACTTAGGGGGAAATATCTATTGCAGAATCATGTGGCTGCTAAGAATTCTGGCCTTAGAAAGGGACCACTGGGTTCCTCACCTGGCTGCTTCCTGGCTTTGTGCTCTTGGGCAGATTCTTGAACCTTTCTGAGCCTCCTTCCAGCCTCTGTGAACTGTGGGCAGTAGGACCTTCATGGTAGGATGTTGCCCGGAGTCTCGGGTCTGCGCGGGTGTGAGCTTGTCAGGAGGACTGTTGTGTGGCACTGAATATATGGCTGGGAGCACTTCTTTGAACTTTCCCCCTCTGTTTTGTTTGGATATAGAGTAAAAATCAAGTCTCCACCAGAAGCTGGTACCCAGTTACCAAAGATCATCTTCAGCAAGGATGAGAAAGTCCCTGGCCAGAGTCAGGAGCCAGGTGTCGCTGCCGTCCCAGCTGGCAACCGCACTCAGCAGGCACTAGGTGAGCTGTGCAGAGGGCCCACTGGGGGAGCGGGGTTAATGAGTGAAAGCAAGCATGAGGCACAACAGCTAGGACAACAGCCTTTTTTTTTTTTTTTTTTTTTTTTAATTTTTTAGTTGTAGTTGGACACCATATCTTTATTTAATTAATTTATTTATTTGTAGGTAGTGCTGAGGATTGAACCCAGGGCCTCGCACACTCTAGGCAGGGTCTCTACCACTGAACCAAAGCCCAGCCCTAGGACAACAGTCTTAGAACGGTTTTATTTTGGAGATTATACAAAAACATGACCACCAAGAAAAATGTGGAAAAATACAGAGAAAATGGGAAAAGCCATTGTCTCTTCTTACTCCCAGGGTTAGAATCTTAGTAACTTCTGTTTCCTTAATAAGCTTGTTTCCTAAGTATAGAGCCTCTGTCTTAAAATTCATAGTCATGCTCATAATTTTCCACACGTGCCTCTTTGCTTAACTTTGATATATTCCATTAGTCAGGTTCTGTTATTTTCCCACCCCTTCCCCAAGAAGAGACACTTCCACTTCATGCACACTGTTGCCAGTATTGCTGCACTGGAGGGCTACTTCTTTTGTTTGTACTGGGAATTGAACTCAGGGCTGCTCTACCATTGAGCTATATCCTCAGCCCTTTTTATTTTTTTATTTTGAGACAGAAGCTCACTAAATTACTGAGATGATTAAGGCAGGAGGATTACAAGTTGAAGGCCAGCCTTAGCAACTTAGGGAAATGCTGTCTCAAAATAAAAACAAAAGGGCTGGGGATGTGGCTCAGTGGTAAAGTGCCCCTGGGTTCAATCTTTGATACCAAAAAAAAAAAAAAAAAAAAAAAGACACACAAGTATCACATTTGTATCAGTGCACTATCTCCTTCCGATATAGGTTCCTGTGCTCTCAGAACTGTTCTCTGGGCAGAAAATGCCCTGTTGTTCTTGTTATTCTGAAACTCTCCCTTACCCTGAGCTGTCTTCACCAGGAAGAGGATCTTAGGTTAAGATCCTCTTTTCCCATTTTCTCTGTATTTTTCACATTTTTCTTGGTGGTCATGTTTTTGTATAACCTTAAAAGCGGCACAGATACCACTGTGTTCTGTGAAGGAAGCTGCTGGCAACTGTGACACTCCTTGCTATGAGGGGAAAATTAAAATATGTGCAGTACAGGCTGAGGGTGAGGCTCAGCGGCAGAGAGCCCACCCACAGCACAGGATCCTGGAGTTGTGTCCCTAGCACTGCCAAAAAAGCATACATCACACTAATAATTATTTGTGATTAATTTTTCCATGTGTGTAAGTAGATCTAATATATAATTTTTGAAAACAATTATTATTTTCAAACATAATTATGTAGAAAATAAGGAAAATTATTCCTGTTTCATTGCTGGGCAATAGCATGCACTAGCTTATTCAGAAAAGAGTTCCCTATAGCTGGGTGTGGTGGCACACACCTGTAGTCCAAGCTACTCCGGAGGATGAGGCAGGAAGATTGCAAGTTTGAGGCCAGCCTTGGCAATTTAGCAAGATCCTGTCTCAAAAGAAAATAAAGAGGGCTAGAGTTGTGGCTCAATGGTAGAGCACCCACCTTGCACGTGTGAGGCCCTGGGTTCTATCCTCAGCACCACATATAAATAAATAAATCAAATAAAGGTATGTGTCCATCTGTAACTAAAAAATATTAAAAAGGAGGAGGAGGAAGAAGAAGAAGAGGAAGAAGAAGAACAAGAAGAGAAAAAGGGCTGGGGATGTAGTTCAGGGATAAAATGCCCTCCCCCCCCTCCCAGTGCAGTTCCTAGTACCGCACACAACAAAGACGTGAATTCTCCTGTTCTATTACCATTTATTTGATAACAATTGTAACACACTTCAATTTCTTGCTCCTGCTGCTCAAAAATTGTCTTTTGTGACTTGGGAAGATGGCAGTCTGCAGGGTTTCTTTGTTTGTCTTACCTGTGAGCTTAATTCAGAGGAATGTTGTTTTTGTTGGTTGTTTTCCCCCCTGTATCTGGGATTGAACCCAGAGGTACTGAATTCCTGAGTCACTCAACCACTGAGACACATCCCCAACCCTTTTTTGTTATTTTATTTATTTATTTAATTATTTATTTTGTAGTTGTAGATGGACAGAATGCCTTAATTTGTTTATTTTTACATGGTGCTAAGGATCGCACCCAGTGCCTCTAGGCCAGCGCTCTGCCACTGAGCCACAGCCTCAGGCCCCACTTTGTTATTTTGAGACGGGGTCTCACTGAGTTGCATAGGGCCTAGCCAGGTTGCTGAAGCTGGCTCTGAACTTGCAATCCTCCTGCCTCAGCTTCCCTAGCCACTGGGATTATAGGTATGTGTCACCTCACCCAGCCAGGAATGTTTCTAGTATTTGATATTAGAGAATCTGGAGCCTCATAAAATTATACTATCTTTTTATATGTATGTATATATATGTGTGTGTGTTTATATGAGAGCTGGATCATGCAGTAATATTTTTTAAATGTTTGTGTTTCTAGATGGTGGAAAGTCTAAAAGAAGTACAGTGGATTCAAAGGTAAGAACTAATCACCTAATTGTGCTTAGCTTTTTTTTTAAAATTAGTGCCTTATATTTGTATATCATGGTGGAATTTGTTGTTAGGTATTCATATCTGCACATGATATAATTTGGCCAATATCACTCCCCAGTATTTTCTCTCTTCTTCCCCACTTCCCCATCGGGTTCCTTTCCTGTACTCTATTGATTTTTTTTTTTATTATAGGTGGACACAATATTTTATTTTAATGTGGTGCTGAGGAGTGAACCCAGTGCCTCACGCATGCTAGGCAAGCGCTGTACCTCTGAGCCCCAGCTCAGCCCTGATCTTTTGTTCTTATGAGTTCCCCCTGGCCTACCTTTCTTTAACTTTTTCTTCTGTRGTTTTCACATACAAGAGAAAATATGCTATCCTTGACTTTCTGATTTGGCTTATTTGGCTTATTTGGCTTAACATAATATTCTCAGGTTCCATTCATTTACATGCACAATTGCCGCATTCCTGGTGACAGAAACACTCAGGGTCCCTCCAGGGGAACTGGGCTGCGTGAAATAACCCCACACAAGAGACAAGAGATACCTTTTTCTTTGGGGGTCCTGTGACGGCTCCTCTGACCTTAAGGGTCTACAGAAAGAGCGAGGAGCACGTGCTGACCCTTTTATTGAGGAGAAGCCATTCAAATGAGACAAGGGGTCAGGTGTCAGGGGGCTGAGTCTTATCTTCATGATGTCTGCTGTTAGCAGGCTGGTTGAGATCTAGGAAGGCCACACCCAAAGGCAGATCAAGAGAAGGGGACACACAAAGGGCGTTTCCATGGAACATTCTATCCCAAACAGGGCAAAGGGGTAATATCACAAAGGAACAGGTGAGTGTAGCTCGATCCCTGGGGCTGCAGGAAGGCGCGCCTACGCTTGAAGACACATTCTGCTACTTTGAGGATTAGGGCAGCTGTCTAAGGCCTCTGCGAAAGTGACCAGATCACTACGAAAGTGACTGACAGAGCTCTACCGATCCCAGGAAGGAAAATTCTGGTCACTCAGTGCGACGGTCTCCCCCCACACACAATGACACGATGTCATTTTTCTTTATGGCTAAATAAAACTCCATTGTATGTATATACCACATTTTCTTTATCCATTCTTCTGTTGATGGACACCTAAGCTGCTTCCGTACTTTGGCTGTTGTGAATTGTGCTGCTATAAACATGGTGTGCATGTGTAGCTACAGTGTGATGTTGCTCAGCTTTCTGAGTGTGTGTGTATTGTGTATGTGTTTATGTATATGAATTTGTGCATACACACAAATGTGTGTGCACACATCTAAACTATGAGGAGTTGTCTTCTCTTTGGGGATGTGGGGTTGACATACTGCAATAGTTTCAAAGTGAAATTGAGTGCTGGGTTGCACAGCACTTAGTGCTAGAGGGTCTAGGTTGGGGAACAGAGCCAGCTGGAGAGCCCGCTGGGAGGAGAAATCTCCAGGACTGAGCTTGGAGTTTGTTTAGGGAAGAGGGAGAGGGGTGAAGAGAAGGGGCACTGACAAAGACTGGGTGAGGGGAATGTGCCTGACAAGAGCTCGGCACTGGCCTACTTAAAGTGAGAGGCCAGGTAGCATGCGGTCAGACAGCAGCCTGACAACAGGAGGTTTTGAGATTGTTATCAGAAAATATTGTGAAGAAAGTATTAAAGATCCTCATTCTGCAGGTAATGTGCAGGGTGTGTTGGAGAGGGAGAGAGTGACATCAGAGGGACCAGCAGGTGGCTGATGACACAAGGCCTCCAGGCTTGGGGTGTGAAGCAGGAAGTCTGTCTAGGAGGCCAGTTAGTGGAGGGGGAGGGGAAAGGTTTTTTTGTTTTTATTTTAGAGGGTTTTTTGAGAGAAATGGATGGTAGAAATAGCAGAAGTGGAAAAATAGAGAAAGTTTTGGTTTAAATATCTTGATTTTTCAATGACAGGACATTGAAGTAGCAGTGTTTTATTTGGTTTTGACAGCTTTGTTGAGTTATATTGACCCACAGTAAATTGGACATACTTAAAGTGGCAATTTGATAAGTTTGACTTGACAATCAAAATGGAACATATCCGTCACCTCAGAAGTTTCTCCTGCCCCTTTGAAATCCTCCTGTCCCCAAGCAACCACTGATCTGTCACACTGTAAATTAGATTTCTAGTACTTTGTATAAGTGATGATGCAGCATGTGCTTGTTTTTCCTCTTTTCCTGGGCATAGCACTTTGAGCTTGTCCATGTCACTGCCTCTGTCCTCAGTTAGGTCCCTGCTTGCTTATACCAGTTTCTTGTGCACATGCAGGGTTGAGGCCCGGATGGAGTCTGCCTGACGGTCAGGCTGTGCCTGGGCCTTCGCCCTTGGTCTTGCTGAAGCTTTCTGATGTGTTGTATTGTGTGGCACTGGGGATGGAACCCAGGGCCTTTGCTTGCTCCTGCTGAGGCTTTGGGAGGAGCACCCCAGCAGGGAGTGCACAGCAGAAGAGAGCTAGGGAAAGGAGGCCCCTGCAAAAGGGGATCACACACAGCTCCAAAGGATAGCCAAGCTTTCTCTGTAGAGAGTTGCTGAGGGTCAACAATTTTAAGGCTTAAGAAGGATTTTTAAAATCAGTTTTAATTTTAATTAGCATACTTATTCTGCCAGTATCATTCTAAACAGATTGTTTTTCTTTCTAGGCAACAGGAGAGAAATCCTTTTCTATTCATAACAGTGCTGGGGCAGTTTCGTTTCAGGTACGTCTTCCTTTAGGAATGTTTCCCCGAACTTATCTCTACCATGTAAAAGGGTGAATTTTTCAAAGCATTTTGAATTTAGGAATAATAATTTAGGCTGTGTGGTAGTTACTTTACAGTAGTTTTCTGTGTAACGAAGCTGCAAGATGGGAAGCTGGGTGGTACACGTACACCTGTATTCAGGAGGTGGAGACAGGAAGATTGCAAATTCAAGAACAGCCTCAGCAACTTAGCAAGACCCTGTCTCAAAATTTTAAACAATGGCTGAGGGTGTAGCTCAGTGGTAGAGTACCCCTGGGTCAAATCCCCAGTACTAGAAAGAAAAAAAAAAAAAAAAACCCTGCAAGATGAATAATGTCACCACCTGCTTACCAAATCTTAAGTTTCTGAGAATGAATAACTTTGTAAATGTCCAATGTTAGCAAAAAGACTAATTCTGCCTATGACCCCTCTGCCTCTCCAGCCCCAGGTGCCTCCCTCCAGAGCATGTCAGTGCATAGATAGAATTCTGCACTAGAGAGGACCATTGGTGACAATGGAGGGTGATGTTGTTATTCTAGGAGAGGCCAGAGGCCTTGGGTGGCCCCTTGGCTGGCACAGTGTTAAATGCATGTGAATGCTTTCATGGCAGTGGCATGGCATTCATACAAGGATAGGTGACATTGGACAACTCGCTTTCTGAACCTCACTACCTCATTGTCTAAAAATGAAAAATGAAACTGGGCACAGTGATGTATGCCTGTAATCCCAGTGACTCAGGAGGCTGAAGGAGGATTGCAAACCAAGACCAGCCTTGGCAACTTAGTGAGGTCCTAAGCAACTGAAGGAGACCCTGTCTCCGAATAAAAAGACTTGGTAAAGTGTCCCTGGATTCAATCCTCAGTACCAAAAATAGAAAAATAAAAAATGGGGCTGGTGTTGTGGCTCAGTGGTAGGGCGCTGCCTAGCATGCATGAGGCACTGGGTTCGTTCCTCAGCACTACATTAAAAAAAACGAATAAAATAAAGGTGTTGTGTCCATTCACAACTAAAAATATTAAAAAAAAAAGATGAGGCCTGATTCATAGGTTTTTTAGGAGTATAATTTTTTTAGATGACATGTACAAATAATGGCGAGGTACAGTGGCACATGCCTATAATCCCAGCAACTAGGGAGGCTGAGGCAGGAGAATTCCAAGTTCAAGGTCAGTCTCAGCAATTTAGCAAATCCCTAAGCAACTTTAGTGAGATTTTGTCTCAAAATAAACAAAGAAGGACTGGGGATGTATCTCAGTGGTAGTGTACCCCTGGGTTCAATCCCTGGTAACAGAAAACAAAAACTCAAAAGTACAAATAATGTTTTATAATTAACTCGTTGGAATCACTGCATTTTTTCTAACCAGTTTTTATTAATTGAGGACCAATTTGCTTATAGTGAACTGCCCAGTCTTTAGTGTATGGGTCTATTCCTTGTGACAATGGGTGACCATGGAACCCACTCTGTTTTACCATCTCAGAGTGTCCCAACCCCACGCTGCTGTTCTTATTCTTTCACAGTGAAAGAATAAGATCTTACGTTCTTGAAGCTCAGTAGCTGTCCTTTTCATCACCATTGGCATGACTAGCTGCGGGTTTCCAGAGGTGCAGACTGTGCCTTTGCTCGGACTCCTCCAGCAGCTTCACTTCTGACTCAGAGGAAGCACCTGGCCCTTCCACCGGCCTCCAAGGTCCGGGTGACATGGCCCCTGTTGTCTTCCTGACCTCAGCTTCTCTTTGATCCCTTGCTCTCTCCACTCCCCTCACCTTGCTCCTTCTGCAGGCCTCCGCTGTACTCTGGCTGTGGCGTGCCTCTCGGAATCCCTCAGGTCTTTGTCAGGTGGCACCTTCCCAGCAAGGCTTTCCCTGAGCATCCTCTTGTGTGTGTGTGTGTGTGTGGGGGGGGGGGAGTGTGCTTTTTTCCTTTTTTTTCTTTCTTAAGTGAGTGAGGCCATGGAAAATATAGCACACCCCTGAACCAAAGTGCACCCCCTGGCCAAAAAGAATACAAGATGGAAAAATGCATGCACAGGTAGTACTCTAATCTGAAAGCACAAAGACACTGCTGTGTATTACATGCCTTGGTTCAAGAAGAAGGTACTAAAAACTCTGCAAGGGAGAAGCCTATAAAAAGAAAAGGGCCATTTTACAGAAGAGAAATCTGAGGCCCAAGGAGGCAGGTGGCTTGCCTAAGGGGGATTCAGATCCCAGCTTGTTTCACTCCAGGGCTCACCTGTGTGTTTACCCCCTCTGCTTCACTGCATCCTTGAGAAAATACAAAAGCTGCCCCTCTCTCCCCCAACCTTGCACTTTAAAATGCGCATTAATGAGCGGAGGTCTGGGCTGTGTGCAGGGCTGCATGCACTCCTAGGAGGCCGGGTAGGAAGTGACAAGTCCAGCTGGGCAGCTGAGCAAGCACCACCTCTGAGCCCTCTCTCCACTCCTATTTTATTTATCTTGAGACAGGCTCTCACTAAGCTGAGGCTGGCCTCAAACTTGTGATCCTCCTGCCTTGGTCTTCTGAGTTGCTGGGATTCCAGGAGTGTGCCACTGCACCAGTCCTCTATTATAAAAAACATTTTTTTTTCCTAAAGAGCAAAACAATATGTTGGCTTGAAAACTAGGTAACTGGCCAGGTGCAGTGGTACATGCCTGTAACCTTAGCTGTTTGGGAGGTCAGCGCAGGAGGACTGCAAGTTCAAGGCCAGCCTCATTAATTTAGTGAGTCTGTCTCAAAAACAAAAAGGGCTGGGGATGTAGTTCAGTTGTTCAGTGCTCCTGGGTTCCATCCTTAGTAGCAAGACAAAAGAAAACTAGGTAAGTGCATAAGTGCATGTTAGATTATCTTTGCAGACTTCTGCACAAATCCAACACTGATGGTCAGATGTGTGACGAGGCAGGTGTGGAAGTGTGGTGTGCAATTAGGTGGTGGGGACGAGGTGTCTACTGCTTAGGCCCACCTGTCATTCTGTGCTTGGACATTGCTGTAAGTACTGGGAGGAGACTGTAGAGTAAGAAAACATCAGTTTACGCTCTGCTGTGGGAGAGTTTAAGTGGTCTCTTTTCTTCTGTCTGTAATATTCATAAGTAATGTCTAAGACTTAAAAAGCTGAAGATTTGAGTTCTCTTAATTTTTTTCTTCTTTATTTTCAGTTTTTTTTTAACATCAGCACTGATGACCAGGAAGGCCTTTACAGTCTTTATTTTCATAAGTGCCCTGGCAAAGAACATCGGCTTAATGACAAGTTTTCATTCAGCCTTGATGTGAGTACCATGTGGAGACTGTTCCTCAGGGATTTTGATTGTGTAAAATTAAAGACATATATTTCTGTATTTTTTTTGTTTGTTTTTCTATGTGTGGTGTTGGGCGTTGAACCCAGGATCTATGTATACCTAAGCATGTGCTCTGCCACTGAACTACATCTCCAGCCCCTAAGAGATTTTGAAATCACTTCATTAAGAAAAAAAAAAATGTGGCCAGATTAGCATCCCTGGCAGTGTGCAGGATACTTCAGCAGAGAATTCCTAAGTAAGAAAAGAAAAAGCCTGTGCATTATGACTGTGGGCATTGCCAGGCGTGGTGGCGGAGACTCCAGGGGTAGAGGCAGGAGGGTTGCACACTCAAGGCCAGCCTCGGCAACTTAGTGAGACACTGTCTTGACATAAGAATAGGCTGCTGTGTAGCTCTCTGTTAAAGCACCCTGAGTTCAATCCCTAGTGCCAGAGTGAAAAAAGAAAAAGAACGTGGTTGATGTTCTGCTGTTCTTCACTCTCCTGAGCTCCAGTGAAGCAGCTGAGGTTCCAAATTGATGAGTAAGAGGTGATCTGTTGCTGAAAAGTAACTTAATTTCATGTCGGTTTCAGATTGAGATCACAGAGAAGAATCCTGACAGCTATCTCTCAGCAGGAGAAATCCCTCTCCCCAAATTATACATTTCTATGGCCTTTTTCTTCTTCCTTTCTGGGACCATCTGGATTCACATCCTTCGAAAACGACGGTAAACTATTACATCCTTGAGCCCTTCACCTTAGAGTATGTTGAGATTTGTGTGATTCACTGTAAGCAGGATCCTGCACCTGGGAGGATCCAGCGCTTGCAGCCTTGTTCTCTGAAGGGCGTCTTACCTGAAGCACTCGGGGGCAGCAGGAGCCCTCCAGTGTGGGAGACCTTGTGTGCCTTAGTATTTACAATAATCATTTTTGGTTTAAAAAGTGAATCCAAAAGTTTCAATAATATCCAAGTACAGTAAAATGCATAATCAGAGTGATTCTGTAGCAGAGACCCTGTTGCTCAGGCCTCAAGAGTGAGCGCCTTGGTCCCTTGCAGGGTGGTTCATCCTCGAGGAGGCTGGTCATGAGGCTTATTTGCCCAGGTGAGAGCACAGAGGTCCTGTCCAGCACTGCAGGCAGCGGCTCAGCACCTGGCTGATCCTTGAGTGTTGACCCCCAGATGCTTGTCACTGGAGAAAGCCTCTTCAAGCCCATTTGCCCAGCGCTGGGTCTTTGTTCAAAATCCCAAAGCTTCGGCTTCCTGCCTTGGCTCTTGAGAGCAGTTGCATGTGCATGAATTCTCTGTCTCCCATGAAAGCTGAGAATAAAATACTATGTTTAGAATAAACTATTATATTAAAAGGACCACTCACTCACTTATGCATGTGAATATGGTATTACAACATAGATCAGTTGAAATTAAAAACAAATTATCTCCAAATCCCTCTTTTTCTGGAGCCCTGAGGCAGAAATTGAGACCTCTCCCCCCTGGTGGCTTAACTGTCTTCTAATAGACATGCTGGGAGTCTGGGATACAGGTTCTGGGGAGGCAGTTACTGGTCCTGTGTGTTGTAATATCCTGTACATCCTCCGGATGGAAAGAGTTTGCTCACTTGTGAAGGTCCTGCAGATCATGTTTTGACTAGATTAACCACAGCCATTACAAAGAAAGAATCCTACAGATGCAGGCCATAAAGGCTTTTTTTTTTTTTTTTTTTAAGGAAAGTTTTTCTTTTGCCTTTGTAAGACAAGTAGGAACTGCAGTCAGAAGTTAAGGCTGGGGTTGTAGCTCAGTGGTAGAGCGCTTGCCTCTCATGCGAGAGGCCCTGGGTTCAATATTCAGCACCACATAAAAGTAAATAAATAAAAATAAAAATATTGTGTCCATCTACAACTTAAAAAAAAATGTGGCCTTAACTGTGGCTTCCTGTCTGCTCTCAGCCCCTTTTCAGCCACAGAACTGGGACAGTGATAAGTGCTCTGACTTCTTCTAAGTGTCCCAGCTCTCGGGCTTGTTGTGTGATTCCCTTCAAACTGAGGGGGCTTTGCACATTAGAATGCTATACAGGTGTGAGGTGTTATGGAATAGCATTCTAGCCAGGTATTTTGATGGCATTTTAGTTTCCCCATACTTAGCAAGGACAATAATCATTGTCACTGGTTCACGATAGGAAATGGTGGTAGCAGTTCTAAGCCTGTGGCCAAATGGGGCTGACCTATTTTGTTGGAGTATTGTAGGCACATAGAAAGGCACGTGTCTCCAGGAGTTGAATGCCAGCCCTGTTGGGTGGAGTCTGAGTGGTGTGAAGGCTTGTGACTCGAGGCTGCTGGGTGCCTTGGAGAGGCTCGCAGCCCCTCAGAGCCCACCTGAAAGAACAAGAGATCTTTGCCACATGAATGCATTGAGGTCCAAAGAGGGGACATGAGTGGCCTGGCCAGCATCTCCTGATGGAGCTGGGCATGGCCCAGGTCTGCCTGCTGCTGCCCATCAGGCTACTTTCCAAAGAAAAAACCAAAAAACTGAGCTGTGGAGCAGGGAATGCACAGGTGTAACCACCAGATGCCTGCTGTATGCACGTGGCTAGGCACTCGATGTTTAGTTCAGCTCCTCCTCCAAAAGCTTGTTTAGCTGGGTGTCCCCCCATTTTCAGAGGAGGTTACTGAGGCGCAGAGAGATTAAGATCAAACCAAGGAAGAACCAGTATTTGAGTCCAGGTCGCTGTGGGCCTCGGAACCTATGCTCTTTCTGTCACACTGCCACCACAGCAACTGTGGCCTACAAGTCAGGCTTGCCTGGAGGGCTAGTTTGCACTCGGGGTGGATCCCATTGCTGTTCCAACTGTGGCAGACAGCTCTGGCCGGGACTTCCCTTTTTGGCCTTTAAGTAGGTGGGCACGGGACAGGAAGTGCTGTGAGTCAGCCCAGAGCCAGGTGTGCACCAGGTCAGCACATTCTCACTCCCACTTTGCACAAGCCGCTCTCCTGCCGGATCACTCCCTTTACTTCCTGTCTCTCCCACTCCTTCCCAACCAGGAATAGCCCCCAAATGTGTGAAGGCAGTTTGGATACTTATATATTTTTGCAAGTAAGTAATATTGTTGGTACTGCATATATTTTAAATTTATAGAACCTAGCCTGCTGTAGTGGCCACGCCTATAATCCCAGCAACTCAGAGGCCCAGGCAGAAGGATCACAAGTTCAAGGCCAGCCTCAGCAACTTGGCGAGGTCCTCTCTAAAAATAAAAAGTCCTGGAGGTGTGCCAATTCCGTGGAACTACATGAGTAGAGCACCCCCAGGATTCAACCCCCAGTAACACAAAACAGTAAAAATAAACTGTGTGCAGTGGTGCACACCTGTAATCCCAGTGACTTGGGAGGCTGAGGCAGGAGGATCACAAGTTCAAGGCCAGCTCCAGCAACATGAGACCCTGTCTTAAAATAAAATGTGCTGGGGATGTGACTCAGTGGTTAAGCACCCTGGGTTTAATCCCTGGTACCAGAAAATAAATAAATATGAATTTGTGGAAACCGTCCTCTCTGCATACATCAGTCTGAGTGTTGCTCTTTCACACTCTCCCTTAGTCACAGGCTTTGTTCTGCGCAGTCACTTCACTGCGTGTGCCTGACGGATTGATTTCTAGCCCTCCACAGCACTCCATGGCCTCCGTCCCCACATGTGACTGTGCCATTCCTTGACAGTGCATGCACGACAGGTTGCCCTGCCCTCCTACCCCAGATGGTGCTGTCATGAGCCTTCCTCCAGCCTCCTCAGATCCCCTAGGAGGCTGGTGCTCTGAGAAACAGTCCCAGGGGGAGGGTTGGAGGTCGCGCTCCTACAGTTCCATAAAGTGCTTCCAGCTGCCTGCTTGTAGCCCCCGTGTGTGCTTTCACCGATGGTGCCAGGGCTTCCTGTTGGCCCACACACTCACCAACACACACATCTTAATTTTTGCCAATTTCATGGGTGTAAACTGGAACCTCGTTTTGTTTTGCGTTCTTTTGAATATCGATGATGTGGATTTTCATTTCAGGGATATCTTCACCTCTGGTGCCTGCCTATGGTTTTTTGTTTTTTGTTCTGGGTTTTTTTGCATTTTTTTTCTGTCTTTTTCTGGTTGTTTTACACGAGTCTCTTGCATATTCTGGACATTAATCCCTTGTCTGTCTTATACATTACAATTTTTTTCTCCCATTAGTTCAACTTGTCTATGGTATTTGTTGTTGAATGAAAGTCTTTTGGGTTTTTGTTTGTTTTTTATATACTAGGGATTTGACACCGGGGCACTTTTACCACTAAGCTACATCCCCAGCATTTCTTAAATTTTGAGACAGGGTCTCACCAAGTTGTTGGGGGGCTCACTAAATTGGTAAGGCTGGTCTTAACTTGTGATCTTCTTGTCTCAGCCTCCCAAGTGGCAGAATCGTAGGAGTTTGCTCCTGCGCCTGGGAAATCTTTGGTTTTAATGGAGTCAAAGCTACTTCCATTAGTCTTTTGGGCAGTGCCTGTTGGATCTTAAGAAGTTCCTCTCTACTTCAAGACCATGAAATTTTAGGTTTAGAATTGAAATGCGTCAGGAGACCTTTGGTGTAAGTGTGGAGTGGAGACCAGGTTTATTTTTTCCCACCTGTAGGTTCAAGCTCATGTTTCCCATGGTTCCCCTGCAATAGTCTGTCTGTTTTCACCAATGCAGTGTCATTTACCCTGTGGCAAGCTTCCACACACACACACACACACACACACACACACACACGTGTCTTCACGTGGGCTCTCTGGTCTGTCCCATCGGTCCATTTGTCTGAATAACAGGTAAACTGCACCTGTTCCACACTTTCTAATGCTGTTCCTTTGCAGAATGTCTCAGTCTCTGAGTGTGCATTTCTCCTGTGGCTCTTCCTTAAGTTTTTCTTATTTTTTCGTTTTTAGTTTTTTGGGTCTGGGGATTGAACCCAGGGACACTTTAACACCAAGCTGCATCCCTAGCCCTTTTTATTATTATTTATTTTGAGACAGTATCTTATTGAGTTGCTGAGGGTCTCCCTAAGTTGCCCAGGCTGGCCTGGAACATGCTATCCTCCTGCCTCAGCATCCCGAGTTGCTTTGATTATAGGCATGGCCACTATGCCTGGCCCAAGTCACTCTTTTTATTAACAGAGTTTTCCGTCTTTCTCCATTTTGTTCTTGTGTGTCCTATTAGGTTAACTCCTGGAGGGAGGTGGGAATGGGAGGAGGAATTTAATATCTGGTCATTTACCCACAGGCCTGAGGGTAGAGACAGGGGTGTGGGCCTGTCCTGTCCCCCCCTCCCCTGTCCCTTCCCCTCTCCCCTCACCTGTCCCAGCCTTCTTGTGTGCTGGGCCGCAGCCTTCACCTACAGCTGCACCTGATCTTTCTGATTCCCCAGGGTTTCATACTGTTTTTGAAGATCCATCCACCTCATTCTCACCTATGTGGCCTTCCCAGGGTGGTTTCCAGGGAACACTGGCAGGCTGGGCTAGATTTCCATCTTGGCAGGTCTGGGAACCCACCAACCTGACTTTGCTGCTCACCTCCCAGTTCTACTCGCTGCGTTAATGTATGTTAGAGGTGTCTAATCTGAGGCTTTTCCTCTGGCAGAAACTTCTTGGTTTTGAACCAACTGGTGATTGAAACCAGGAGCACTCTACCATTGAGCTCCCTAGTCTTTTTTTTTTTTTTACCATTTTGAGACGGGGTCTCACTGGGTTGCCTAGGCTGACCTTGGACTTGCAAACCTCCTGCCTTAGCCTCCCAGGTAGTTGGTACGTGTGCCATCATGTCTAGCTCAAAAACTGGGGTGTATGCCCGCCACCCAGATTATTTGCTTATAAATGTCTCTGATGCTTCGGCTGTCCTTGGGGAGAATGGGATCTTCTTTTAATTCTTTTCTTTTCTTTTTACAGGAATGATGTATTTAAAATTCACTGGTTGATGGCGGCCCTTCCTTTCACCAAGTCGCTTTCCTTGGTGTTCCACGCAGTATGTACAAGCAGCTGGGATCATTTAGGAAACGGTGTACATGCCTGTGTGAGCAGGAAGGACGAGTCAGAGGAAAGGGATAGCTAGATGGCGGGAAAGAAGAGGAAAGAATATGTTTTCCCTCAAGCTGCCTTTTGCTCCGGGAACTGGCTGGGGAGATGATCCCGGCCTCCACGGCTAGGCCAGGTCGGGTCAGCTCCTGATACTGCCACCACCAGCGGTCTCCTAGATGTCCTGCTTTAGTCCCTCTTTGGGCGTTTCTTGAGGTGCGGGTGCCTCCACTTCCTCTGTTTTTCCCAATCTCCCTCGTGGGCCTCCTGCATTTGAAGTTCACTGTTAGCAGACTTGCTGGTGGGACCCTTGATGCTTTTAAGATTGAGAAATAAGAACCAGGCCTCAGCTGTGAGTATGGAGAACAGGTGCAGATTGAAATGACTTTGCCTGTGAGGGGAGATCTCGGTCCCTGCAGTGTGCGGCCTGGGTGCTCAGACCCCACCCGGCCCATTCGCCTGTTTGCTTGAGAGTGTCCTCACGGGGAAGAGCAGACATATGTCCAGTGACATTGTCAAGAAATAGTAGTTATTTAGGTAATTTCTCATTTGGATCTAAATTTAAAAATTCTCTCTGGAGCCACAGAGATAATGAATGGCATTGTCCATGTTGGACAAAGCTGCTGTCGACTTTGTGACTTGTATATGAGGCACTTTGGGCACGCTGTTATTTTAGTTAAGATGTGTTTGGGGCCTCAGTGCTGCAGTCTGGCTGGGCACAACTCAGGAGCCACTTGTCAAAAGAAATGAACTTTATTTTTAGAACACACACACCACACCACACAGCCCTTCAGGAAAACCCTCAGAGCCCAACTGCCACCACTGGCTTCCCACAAGCCTCTCAACCTCCCCCACTCCTCCTGCTCTTGAGGCCGATTGGCTGGGTCGTGTAGGCGGAGCCAAAAAAGTCCCCCAATGAGCAGCTCCGTGGTCTGAAAGGGCGGGGAAACAGCCCAGTGAGCATCACTGCAGAGGAGCCAATCAGTTGGCAGCTAGAAGTTTGCTGGGGCCGCTGTGAGCCAATCATCAGCTGGCAGTTGGAAGTTTGCTGGGGCCCCTTTGGCTATGGCTCTCAACACCTCAGCTCTCTCTAAATTTGTGAATTTTTTTTTAAAGGATAGTCAAAGCCAGTTGATTGAATGACATTAATTTTTTAAAATAATTTTATTAGTTGTTGATAGACCTTTATTTCATTTTTATTTATTTTTGTGTGGTGCTGAGGATTCAACCCAGTGCCTCCCATGTTAGGCAAGCGCTCTACCACTGAGCCACAACCCTAGCCCTACATTAATTTTTTTACTCATTGGCTGACCTATTTCCTTATGTAAGCAGCAGGGTGTGAAAGAGAAAGTTCTCAGCTGGCATTGGGACCTTGGAGGCTGTTAAGAAGGGAATAGGCAGCCATTTGCTAGTGTGAATTTTTTGCCTCCCAAGGGTCCTGGGCAGGATGTTAGTGTCATTGAAGCCTAGTGTCACATTTCTAAAGCTCCCTAGTGTTTGTTAACATGTACGTGCTTGTGGTGAGTGGACAGGGAGGGCTTGGTCAGTGGGCTGTGGTTATTGTTCGCCGTGCACTCAGGCCCGCGGCGGCTCAGCCTTTCTAAGATGTGCTTGTTGGTTTCAGATCGACTACCACTACATCTCCTCCCAGGGATTCCCGATTGAGGGCTGGGCTGTTGTATACTACATAACTCATCTGTAAGTATGCGACCCACGGAAAAGTGGTGTGCGGGAAGTTGTGGGGCTGGATGTGGCTCAGTGGTAGAGCACTTGCCTAGTGGTGTGAAGCCCTGGATAGTCCTCAGACCACAAAATAAAAACAGAAGGAGGAGAAATTGGGAGAGCCGTGATAGGTGGCAGCTGTCCAAACTGACCAGCGGTGCCCCGTGGCAGCCTGCCTGGCCCCCTCTGCAGCTGGTGCCTTGGAGGTCACCATGCAGACCAGGGACTGGGCTTGCTCTATTCCCTCCTCCTGCAGCCTCAGCTCTCTCCACCTGAGAGGAGTGCTGCTCACACACAGAGCACTTCACAATTGGGCTCTTGGTCTTACAAGAAGCGTGTGCAGCTGTGGAATGAGCTGCCAGTCTCACTGCTGGGTTAGAATCTGAAGAGACCTTCTGCGTCCTCCACCTGCTTTCTCTTCCAGGTTGAAGGGCGCGCTCCTGTTCATCACCATTGCGCTCATCGGCACAGGCTGGGCTTTCATTAAGCACATCCTCTCCGATAAAGACAAGAAGATTTTCATGATTGTCATCCCACTCCAGGTACAGGAACCCCAGGCCTGCTTGTCAGTTCTTCTCTTGGCCCTTGGCAGGATTCAGCTGCAGACCCTGCTCACCCAGAGACCCCAGGTTGGGCCTTTGGGGATTGAAGATGGGCATCCCATCCTGACCCTGAACCATCTGGACTTCACGTCCTCGCACTGGGAGAAGCCAGACCCTCTGTAGACCAGCAGGGATGCCTAGCCTTTGGTAGAGAGCTGCAGAAAAGTGCGGGGGAGACACTGCCTTCCCTTCAGCCCCTGATTGCCACTAATAAAATTGTCCTCTTAGTGAGGAAGCCCAGATACACAGTGATTTTTACCAACCAGGTATTTCAGAATGTGAATGATACCCATTGAGTTACATGGACACCAGGGACAAATTTTATTAAACCTTTTCTATATTTGGAGACGGGGCTGGGGAACGGGCTGCTTCCAGGGTGAGGGACCTTGTCTTGTCTGCACTTAACGGTCATATTGGAGGTAGGTAACAGACAGGAGCAGTCATGGGTGCTGTAGCAGAGAGTTTGATGATGGTGCTCTCTGGCTGGGTTCATGATTTGGAGCACCAGTGCAAATGTGGCAGGTGGAGAAGGCGGGCAGCTCCCTGGGCACCAGCCAATCCACTCTGGTAACTGGCTGCTTGGTGGAATTTGCTGTGGCGCTACTCTCATTCAGCCATGAACATAGATCAGTGCCCAGGGAACAGTACAGATCAGTCACTGGTGTCCAGGAGCAGTCAYTCACAGTGGTATGCCCTAGAAGGGCTTTCTATCAGGGAGGACTTGCCTAGCCGTTGCAGGAAAGCAGTGTGCTGAGGCAAGGGAGTGGCCACAGACATGTGATGCCGCTGTGTGGTGAACCTAGGGTACCAGCRAACATGCAGGTCTCTTTTTTTTTTTTTTTTAATTTATTTTTTAGTTCTCGGCGGACACAACATCTTTGTTGGTATGTGGTGCTGAGGATCGAACCCGGGCCGCACGCATGCCAGGCGAGCGTGCTACCGCTTGAGCCACATCCCCAACCCCATGCAGGTCTCTTGGTGGTCAAGTTACATGGCCACTCTGTGGCCAGATCAAGTTCTACAGCTTACCACTCTCAGAGCTTATAGATGACAGGCCTAGGCCCTCCTCCCACTTTGCTAGATGGCTGCCTGGATCCCTTGCCCTCAGACAGACTCAAACCACCCCCAAGGTTGACCCCCTGACTCCCGTCTGAACTGGGGTGCGACAGGGCATGGACTTTCCTGCTTCCCCTGTTCCCTTGGAAGAGAACCACACAAGGTTACATGGAACATCTCTTTGAGGAAATGTAGAAAATTAAATATGAGGAAGTTTGGAGTGCTTAGACATGGGATTGGTCTGAGAGGACCCTGAACATAAGCCTAAAAAGTTAAAACTGCTTCCTTTTGGCCACAGATACTGGTGGACAGCTTGCTTGCTTTTCTTTTCCTTCTGCGGGGCTGAATCCAGGGCCTTGCACTTGCTTGGCAAGTGCTTCCCCACTGAGCCGCACCCCAGCCTCAGCTGAAAGTTTCTGAGTAAGGATTAAGTGGTGCATAGCACAAAATTGTGTTTCGAGAACACTGTTGACACATTGTTCAGCACAGACACCTCTCAGGAGCATCCTGTCTCCTGTAAACCCTAGGAGTTAAGGACAGTGGAGTCACTGTCAGAGGAGAAGCTCTTGTGTTCCCATTGTCATTGTACAGTCAYTGTAAAAGACTTCAGGAGAAACAAGCAGGAGCCAGGGCCAGTGGGGAAACTGAGATTTCAAATTCAGCTTTGCGTTTGTACTAAATGAAGTTTGGCTTCTGTGCCAGCTTCATTCATAAGCCCTATACCTAGAAAGGAGCCACACTTCGAGGCCTCCTAGGTCACAGCACCGCAGCTTCTGTGTTCCTTATGATCCTCTGGAGAACTAGCCATCTTCACAGCAAGCCAGGCAGGTGTTTGGACTTCTCATGGGACGTGTAGTTGTAATGTCATCTCTGCATCTGTACCTACTGGTGTCTGTGAAAGAACGTGTCCTGAGATGTCAGTTTCCTTAATGGTCAGTCGTATTGGGTGAGACAGCTGAAAGACTCGTAGCACACCAAGAGCCTAATTATAGACCAGACCCACGGCAAAGGCGTGACTTTGCAAATAGAGGCCAGACRTGGATGTGGGCAAACCTTACTCCAGTGTAGGGAAGGCCTGAACTTGGATTGTTCAGGACCAGTGTGGCTACTCGGTTGCTGGGCTGAAATCTGCTATTCTTACCTCTGTGGTCTCTGATCAAACAAACCTTTTATCAGGTACTTAAAGAGTTATTGTCACTGGGGAGTGTAGGTTTTCTGATTAAATGGGGCATTAAGTGCCATCCATTCAGCACCTGAGTGACCGATGAGGCCTGGGTACCCAAAAAGCAAAGTAAAGTGTCCTAATTATACATTGCTACATAACAAGTCATCCCCCAAAAAAGTGCCTTTAAGCCACAGCAACAGTCATTCTGTCTCAGTTTCTGTGGGTCAGGAATTTAGGAGTGGCTTAACTGGGTAGGTCTGCCTCAGAGTCGTGGTTGTGGTCAGTGACTGGGAATGGGGGTGTCTAGAAGTCTTTTCGTCTTCTTCCTGAGTTGGGAAGACTTGAGGGGGTAGAAACAGCAGGGCCCCTCGGGTCTCCTGTCTGCATGGTCTCTAGCATGGCCGTTTCCGCAGACTTCTTCCCAGCAGGCTCAGGCTGTAAAGGTCTGGAGGGAGAGCCAGTGGGAGCTGTGTCTGCCCTGGCAGTCACATGAGTCCCATCTGCTTCACTCCATTGGTCAGAACCAGCCTGACCTGGTCCAAGGGAGGGCGTAGGACCTGCGCTTCTTACCCTCAGAGTGACAGAGTTCTGGAAGAGCTTAGGAAGTAGTGCAGCAGCTGCAGGTGGAGGCTCTGCGCTCCCCACCAGCCCTGCTCTGGGGCCTCAGCGGCTTCTTGTGTCCCGTAGGTCCTGGCAAACGTGGCCTACATCATCATAGAGTCCACAGAGGAGGGCACAACCGAATATGGCTTGTGGAAGGACTCTCTGTTCCTGGTGGACCTGCTATGCTGTGGCGCCATCCTCTTCCCAGTGGTGTGGTGAGTGACCCCAGGAGGAGCTGCCCACACCCGGGGCCGCTGTCAACCCAGTAGCCAAACTGGCTGATCTTAAATTAGTCGGAATCACACAGGGCCTCTGGGCTTTTTAGTACAGCTTTGTGGGCTGGACTGCCCACAGAGTGTCCAGGTGGGACCTGTGTCTTTTTCTTTTCTTTTTAGTTGTAGATGGGTATGATACCTTTTACTTATGTATTTTTTTAACGTGGTGCTGAGGATTGAACCTAGCACAACACATTTGCTAGTCAAGAGCTCTACCACCTAGCCCAGCCCCAGCCCCAGCCCCGAGTCTTTATCAAGTGGCCCAGGTACTTCTGATGGAGCTGGCCTGGCAGTGTGGGCTGGGGCAGAGCACAGTTCTAGACTGGAGTCTGGGAACAAGAAGTTGGTGGCAACGGGAAAGAGCAGACTAACTTCAGCGGACAGGGAGTTGAATTCCCATAAATAACCCTTTCCTGCCAGGTCGGTGGAGAATGAGGAAGTTCATGAACACTAGTTAGTGGGCTGTCAGCACATGCACAGTTCTGACAACTTGAGAACCGTGTGCTGCACTCCTGCAGGTGACAGGCTGCAGGTGCATGTATTGCATTTTGAGTATGCAAAAAGAAGTGCTAGTACCACGTCAGTGGTGAAGGCAAAGACTATCCGTGTTAAATCACATTCAAAGTGATGGAGATTCTTGGTCTAGTAAGGGTCCAGTGGAGGAGCGAAGAGGGCGGGAACAAAACACCTCGCCCCTCGTGGTCTAGCTCTGTGGCTATTTGAGTGCAGTAAATTCTTCTGAAATCCAGGTTAAGGAAAGCAAGATGCTTCTTATTGAAGTGTCCTCTGCAGAACACTAGTTATTTTCTGGATCTTGGGGTTTGTAGATTGCTTGGAGCACAGTGAAGCTGGTCCTCATTCCAGCTGGGAGAGCCACACAGCCTGTGTGCGCATCCAAGCTCAGCAGACAGCTGCCAGCAGAGCAGGGGACCAGAGCTTCTGCATCCCCCTCCTCCGCATGCTGCCCAGGGGAGAAGTCGGGCCACAACTGCGCTCAGGCAAGATCCTGCTCTGTACATGCCATTGCCAGGCAGTAATGTCAGGGACCCAGAACAGCGTAGAGCTACCTGCCACTGGTCAATTACAGTACTACTGAACAGATCCAAATGGCAAGACCACTTCAGCTAAATATCTCTAAAAATACTGTGAATGAAAAAAATAAGATCTAGAAAAGTAATTTAAGAAATAACATGAATAATTCTTTAGAGTACTCAATTCAGCCAGCACTGGGCCAGTTCCAGCCTTACGCTGGTTAGTCTCCGCGGCGGCAACCAGCTCAGACCTCACAGAGGCAAGCTCTTGAGGCTTTAGGAAAAGTGGCTTACTCACCACAAGAGGGAGTAGCAGTGCCCGAGGGAGCCTGGGTCTGCCAGACCCTGCCCTCTTCCCTCACCCACCCCACCGCCTGCTGCGCGCAGCCTTGCTCTAGTGGCAGCCTTGCTCTAGTGGCAGCCTTGCTCTAGTGGCAGCCTTGCTCTAGTGGCCGCGCTGTGCGTGGGACTCCGATTGCAGCTTCTTTGGTGACATGTCCTCTGCCTGAGTGGTGGTGGCAGTCATTAGTTACTGGCATAGCACAGCAAAAAAAGACTCCCTGGGGCAGCAGTTTTCCACAGATTAATAAATCTCCACTTAATGAATTTGCATAAACCGTATGTTCACAGCCCCTGGACCCAGACGTAGATGGTGGCCAGCAGCTTTCTAGGGTCAGTTCTCTCACAGTGGCAGGAGACCTTAGCGAGGCTCTGTTGTTGTCATAGTCAGGTTGGGGTGACTGTGGGACTGAGGTAGGTAGAGACCAGGAGAGTTCTCTTCACTGAGGCCCTGCCAGACTCACTGCCCCTGTCTCCGCCAGCAGAGGGCATCCTGCCTCGCAGGCCTGAGCGCCATAACTGGGGAGGTGCGGGTTAGCATAGGAAGAGTGCTCTAAAGTCACTAGTCCACCCTTTCAGTCTGTAATAGGGAAATTAAAGGCCCCCAAGCAGCTTGAGCAGGAAATAAAGAATGCAAATTTGCCAGCTAACCTTTTTTCTCCAAATGTTTATTTTTAGGTCAATCAGACATTTACAAGAAGCCTCAGCCACAGATGGAAAAGGCAAGTTCCCTCGTGCTCCTGCACGTTGCTCGCTTCCCTCTGAACCCCACACTGGGCACTCTTTGGGGTGGGTGGGGGGCCTGGGGACCAAGTTTGCAGGAGCATTCAGTGGATGCATGGTGGAGAGAAGCATGTGTTGAGTATCACAGAGACCAGTTGTATACAGAGGCTTGGGGAAGGTTGCTGCATATTGGGATTTTGTTTCTACTTGTGATTGTGATTTTTACCCTCTCAAACTGAATCAGTGCTAGGCATGGTGGTGCAAGCCCGTAATCCCAGTGGCTCGGGAGGCTAAGGCAGGAGGATTGTGAGTTCAAAGCCAGCTTCAGCGACGGGGGAAGTGGGAGTTAAGCAACTCAGTGTGACCCTGAGTTCAATCCCTGGTACCACCCCCCCCCCCACCAAAAAAAAAAATCAGTGTGACAAACACCTGAAATCCTGGTGACTTGGGAGGCTGAGGCAAGAGGATCACAAATTGGAGGCAACTTAGTGAGACCCTGTCTCAGAAAAATAGAAAGGTCTAGGGATGTAGCTCAGTAATAGAGCACCTATGGACTAAGTATTCAGTACCAAGAAACACACACACACACACACACACACCCCACATTCTCTCTCTCTCTCTCTCTCTCTCTCTCTCTGACTTAGAACCATTTGTGTCCTGGTAGGGCTAGCTAATATTGCCTGTGAGAATAGGAGTGCTGTGGAGTGGAATTGACTGCGTTTAGAGTGGTCTTTTCTGCTGACCTAACATATTTTCAAAATGGTTGTGTTGGTATTAATTTTAAATAAAACTCTGAGTCCAAAAAGAACTTTTAAAACTAGCTGATATTTTAAATGGCTATCCCATTATAACCCATCTGCATCTCCTTGATTTTCCAATCATCATGCCTCTTGTATCAGAAAAGGAGCCATAAAGAAAATATGTGTTTCTGTGTTTCTGGGCTGGCTTGACCAGTGCCCAGGACCAGGATCCAGTGGCACAGTGGGCACTCGGATCTCAAAGGCTGCAGTGCCCTCGGGGGATCTGCGAAGTCTTACCAGTGCCGGCAGTAGTGTGCTTCAAGGCAGATTATTCATTATCAGTAGTAAAAAGAAACAAGTTTTTGTTTAAAAATAAAATATTATTGCCAACCTTTTATTCTGATTACAAAAGTAATGTGGGGACTACGGCTGTGGCTCAGTGGTAGAGTACCTACCTTGCATGAGTGAGGCACTGAGTTCGAAACTCAGCACCACATAAAAATAAATAAAAAAATAACACTAGAGATAAACAAAAAAAAGTAATGTGGATTCATTTGAGAAAACATAATGGCCACGAGTCTCATTTCACAGGCTTTAGAGTACAATTACTATCACATTCTTTCTTTTAAATGGAGTTAAACCTGAACTAGTGTGGCACGCCTGTAATCCCAGTAACTCAGGAGGCTGAGGCAGGAGGATTGCAAGTTCCAGGCCAGCCTCAGCAATGTAGTGAGACCTTGTCTCACAATAAAAAATAAAAAGGCTGAGGATCTGATTCAGTGGTAAGGCACCCCTGGCTTCAACCCCAGTATGAAAAAAAAAAAAAATGCACGAAAACACTCTGGGTTCTCTGGGTTCTTATTCAGGGCATGGTATTAAGGAGGCTCTCCCGGTTTGTGACCAGAATAGTGACTGTAGAGATTCCCTCTGCTCGGGCCTTGGTGCTTTTGTTTCTGGGCAGCCTCATACCCAGGATCTTGCCAGGCTGGGACCCATGGTTGCTCTGAGGCCTGCTCCCGACCTCCCCAACCTCAGCCAGCGTTTGTCTTCTTTCTAGTCCTCTCTTCTTCCAAAGCACTGGGTTCCCTTTTCCTGCACTGGAATGCTCTCTGACAGATACTTTTTTTTTTTTTTTTAAGGTACTGGGGAAGCTGAGGCAAACCTCCTACCTTAGCCACCCGATTGAACTCAGGGTTACTCAGCCCTGAGCCACATCCCCAGCCCCATTTTGTATTTTATTTAGAGACAGGGTCTCACTGAGTTGCTTAGCACCTCGCTTTTGCTGAGGCTGGCTTTGAATTCACAATCCTCCTTCCTCAGCCTCCTGAGGCGCTGGTATTATAGGCATGTGCCACTGCTCCCTGCTGTGACAGGTTCTTTTCAACAGCTCGGAGCTGGGATATTGTGTGCAGAATGCTCGTGTAGCCTTGCTGGTCGCCTTCCCTGGAGCTGTATTAGAGAGCCCTCTCTCTGCCTTCATGCAGTCGAGTAAGGAAGCGCAAAAAATAAAGTGGATATTAGAATCTTAATAGAGCACCTTGCCACAAGCATGAAAACCCACCTTTTGGCAATAGTAATTGTTTGGGGATATTCTTGTCCTTTTTTTCCTCCCATCTATGCATGCTGTATTAAAAAAAAAAAAAAACAACTTTGTTTTGTAATGTAATCAATAGGGTCCTCCCCCTTACCGTAATATATTAACACAAAATATTTTAACGAGCAGACATCGTACCACACACGGAACACTGAGACAGGAGGTTCTCAAGTTGGAGGCCAGCCTCAGCAACTTAGCAAGACCCTGTCTCAAAATAAAAAAATGAAAAGATATGGGGATGTGGCTTAGGAGTGGAGTACCCCTGGGTTCAATTCCCTGTGCCAGAAAAAAAAAAAAAAAAAGAACCTTTCTTCTATCCTTGTATACTTTGGTGTTTCTGAATTAGTTTTTCCTACCACTGGGCCAGAAACACTTGGCCGTCCTAAGGGCAGTGTTTCTCTCCTGGGCTTCATCCTGTGCCCTTGGGGCATTCCTCGGGTCCTTCCTCACCAATGCCCTTCTCCTTTCTCTGTTGTTCTGAGATCTGCTGCCTCGGTGCCTTCTCCACCTTGCTTTCGAGGGTCTAGGGGTGACTTGCTGGCTGGCAGTCTCTGCGACCCCTGACTTCACCTGAGGTTGGCCCTCAGCTGAGCACTTGGTGAAAGGCTCAGCCTGGGTTAGACTGCACAGCCACTGAGGCCCCGGGTGGGTCAGTGTTGTCCCCCAGCCTCTGTGGTAAACCCTGCTTTTGTGCTGCTGGGAGCACATAAGGCAGTTTCTCACTTTTCCACCAGGTGGCAGCATGGGCCTCTTCAGCAGAGAGCAGGGTAAAAGCAGGCGCTGGCACCCACAGGCCCATTCTGTCCAGAACACCCAGTCCTCCTCAGCAGGGACCACCACAAACCTTTGACGGAGGGACCGAGTGGAGTAGAGTGGGGTGTCTGTGGACTGTGAGTGTTGCTCAGTGGGTGAACATTTGCCTAGTGTATGGGTCTGGCTTCCCTCCCTGGCACAAAAAAATAAGAAGGTTGGATTGTCAGCGGGTAGTTTTTTTGTTTGTTTTTGTTTCATTTTCTTTTGTATCAGGGATTGAACCCTGGGGTGTTTCAACTTTTGAGCCACATCCCCAGCCCTTTTTATTTTTAGACAGGGTTTCACTAAGTTGCTTAGGGCCTCACTAGTCTCAAACTTGAGATCCTCCTGCCTCAGCCTCCAGAGTCGCTGGGATTACAGGCGTGCACCACTGCACCTGGCCAGACTGTCTTCTTTATTTCCCCAAATAAAGTGGGGGTGTACCGGGGACTGGACTCAGAGGCTCTCGGCCACTGAGCTACATCCTCAGTCATGTTTTGTATTTTATTTAGAGATGGGGTCTCACTGAGTTGCTTAGCACTTCCCTGTTGCTAAGGATGGCTATGAACTTGTGATCCTCCTGCCTCAGCCTCTGGAGCTGCTGGAATTACAAGCGTGCGCCACTGCATCCAGCCCAGTTGTCTTCTTGGTGGATGCTTTTGAGCCAGTCCACTCCATCCTTTGAAAAATGGTCATCTAGTGAAACTCCCAGAGGCTAGGCAGCCACGTTCCCTTAGCGAAGTCTCCCCTGTGGAGAGGACTGTGGAACAGCGCTCTGCTAGCTAGCCCCGCTCAGTGGTGACTGCAGTGTGGTCATGCCCTGAAGGGCCACATGGGAAGGCARGATAAGCACATGGCCAGCTGCTGTTCCTTATGTGGTCCACCCTGTGTGCCCCTCACCTGTCCTGAGATCTGCTGGTCCTGGAGGACAGGCCTCTGGGGCCTCAGGTGGTGACGTTGTCAGAGCTGGAAGCAGGGCAGCGTGCCACAGCGACCTGACCTTCTGGTGCCTCTTCCTTGGCTATCATTCCACTGGTCGTTTCATGGCCTTGCTGGGACTCGGGCTTTAGGTTCTCCTTAGTAGCCGAGGTGCAGTCCAGGCCAGGCAGAGTGTGGCTTATAGTTGTTTGGTATTTGGGCTGAACACAGCTTCCAGAGAGCCTCGGGTTTTGTTCACTTCTTTGTCTCTGGATCCCTTTTAACAGCATCTGAGGGAATGTAAAGGAAGACATGAAGGAGGAAGCTGCCTCTGTCCTCAGCCCTTTGTCCCTTCTACCACATGCTGTTTCCTGGGTCCTCTGTCATTGAGATTCCCTGCGTTGCAGGGGCCTCTGAGCTTAGGGAGTCCTGCTCTGTCACGCCCAACCTGGCCCCCTGTGCTCCTGCCAGGATCCATCCACTGTCTCTTCTTGAGCTTGCAGGCTCCTCTCCCCGGGTGGCTTCCTCTTAGGGTCAGCCTAGGCTCAGACAACATAAATAACATGGCAGCCTCTACTCTGGTCATCCTTTTTTTGGCCTTGCGTTTCTGCGGGCAAGCCAGACTTACCTTTTATGTGGCTTCAGAAGCCTTTACACAGCGGTGATTGGCCAGCTGTGGCATTCTGGAGGCAGGGTCTGGATCTGAGCTGCTGTGGGTTCTGCAAGGAGCCCTGGCCATAAGAGGAACCTGTGAGGGCAGCAGCTCCCCGGGGATCCTCAGGACCCCACTGTTCCCACAAGGATCCCTCCTTAGCGTTTTGACTGTTGGCGTTTGCACTGCTGGTACTAAAGCAATGCTGGGCTGTGGCACCAAGCTGCACTAGAGCCTGTGTTCTTCACTGCCACCTATTCGCAGGGACAAAAAGCTCTCAAGCCACTTAAGAATGGCCTTGAT